CTCTGAGATACATAACTGTGTAAATACATCTAAATGCTATTTCAGATACAGATTCCGAAATGTTTTCTTATGTTGGAATGAAAGACACTTAAGTACCGGATGAAGTGCTTCTTATTCTTACCCAAAAATACAAAATGGATGAAAGCGTTAAAACTGAACACAATCTTGCTACTCAAGCTGTGTATGAACATTTTATATATATTTATTATATATCCTATATATATTTATTTGCTTCTTTTCCATTTTGCATTTACTTGTACTTTTACTTTCAATACTTAAGTACGTTTAAGATTAAAAAAATACTTTTTGTACTTAAGTACAATAAATATCACATACTTTAAGATTTTTACTCAAGTAATATTCTAAACGGTGACTTCAACTTCTACCAAAGTCATTTTCTGGTAAGATATCTGTACTTTTACTTGAGTATGGCTTTCAGGTACTTTATACACCACTGCTGAATTCAGAATAGAATACTAGCAATCTATTGTTTCTGCCATACAATTATTAATCCCTATAAATCTTTATAATATCAACCACAATTTAAATTTTAAATCAGTACACATTCAGCAATAGGCATTAGAAAGCTACTTTGTGCACTTAGTGAATGATTTGAGTGTATGAATATTCAGTATGTATGGACCATGCTAGCACAGTGTTAGCATTGCAGGGGTCAAGCACATCCCTTATGCCAACAGCGTAAGTCTCTGTCCTACCAGCAGTAACAGATGTCCACAGCGCTAAAGCAACCCTCATCCACACCTTCTGTTGAGCCCTCTGTGTCTTTATGAATCATTCATGGTGGCACCTGGGCCGAGCTTAGGTGTTGTCAACAGACCACACACTGAGATGTGTGTTAATGAATCTAGAGACACAAGCAAAGCTAACTAAAACTCTTGAACTAAAACTAGCCAAACAACTGCCATTGAGATGAATGGGGATTTAGCATTTCATTTGGTGATGCTAGCAGAAAAGAAAATGCAAAAAGTAAAAGCAAAAAGTGCAACTTTACAGCAGTATAAAATGGCGTCATGCTTGTGTACTTTTTGTACTGAGGGTTTTTAACGTTGGAAAAGTACTTTAGCATACGAGTACTTAATATACTTTAAAAGATTTAAATTAAGTGTGAACTGAATGTAATGTTGTCGAACACTAAATTCCATAATTGCAATTAAATGAAATGATAGAATACACAGATATATTAGTTTAAATTTAAAGTGTCTTAGTTTATATTTATATTAAATGTAATTAGCTTTTTGACTCACTTAAGTAGGACTTAAGTATCTTTATAAGTAATCTCATAATTACTTATATGGTCTTTGTAATATGGTTAAAGTGTAATGGCAAATGTACTGACAAGCATTTATTTTAAACTGAAATATACTTTATTGCAATTCCTTTTAAAAATATATGCCATCTATTTGCACAATAAAGATGAAGTTGCAGTTTAGTACATTAAAAATGAATCAACTTTAAATGTAATAACAAACAACATACTACTGTTAAAATAATATCATCATATGTTATAATCAAATAATTGTACTTCTTTAAAGCATGACTAAAGATAATTTTAAAAAATGATTTAAAATGGACATTTAATTTACATTACTACAAATTGCACTTTTTTAAAAGTACTAAAGTGTTTTAAATGTATGTTAAAAGTACTTAAGTGTGTCAAAAAATCAAATGAATAGAAAATAAAAATGTACACTCTTTAGGCACCCTTAATTGGCCTTTTATTTAATAATTTTCAATATTATCTGCAAGTACAGTTTTTTTTTAAATATATGTTTGAAGGATTTAAAATGGACATTTAAATTACATTCATACAAATTGCACTTTTTAAAAAGTACTTAAGTACTTAAGTATATATATATATATATATATATATATATATCTTGCTACGTGTACTGCGTTAAGCTAACAGACTTGTCATAGCACTTGCATTTTATTGCTCTTTTGTTGGTTTTGATTGCTTCTATTGTCATCATTTTTAAGTCGCTTTGGATAAAAGCATCTGCTAAATGACTAAATGTAAATGTAAATGTGTATTAAATGTATGTTAAAAGTACTTAAGTGTGTCAAGAAATAAAATAAAAATGTACACTCTTTAGGTACACTTAATTGGCCTTTTATTTCATAATATTCTATATTATCTGCAAGTACAGTTTTTTACAAATATACTTTTGAAGTAAACTACACATGCACTTTCAATACAGTTACGCGCACTTCTTTTTCACAAGAGGGTTGCAGTGCTGTTGAGACCTTTGAAGTTCAAAACATGCTGAGCTCGCTGCGAGACATTTTATCTGGACTTTTCTCTGCTGCCATTTGCAAAGGCGAGAGTGGGGCAAAAACGAAAGTTCTCCTTAGCAACACACACTCAGGCAGAAGAGTCGCTACGTTCGCTCATTATCGTGCTTCCTCTCTGCCGTAACCAGGCCAGGGATTGGCTGCAGGGGGCGGGACTTGCTGACTAGCGCTCTGTGCCAGAAGAAAGACTGGAGCGGAAAATGATATCACGGGGTGAGGCTGGCACACAATCTGTCTCGCTGTGTGTTCCCAGAAGCTCCTAATAACTGGCTCTATTCTCGGCCCAGACCCCACTGTCACCCCAGACGCTCGTGAGCCGAGCCGCCACAAGTGCTCAGGTGAACCTCGAGCCCTGGTCAAAACACCTCCACCTCACAGCTGCGTGAGAAACGCCGCTTTATTTAGATGGGTCAGATTGGCAGATGAAAGGCGGTCGGCTAGAATGCAAATCGACACCTACGCATTCAGACACTAATGCGATATATGCTAATCGCTGGCTTGTTTTCCTCAGACTAAATCGCTGTTTTTGTGTCATTGCAGTTCATCCCAAAAAGAAGAATCGGCAGACGTGTGTGCGCAAGAGCCTGATATGCGCGTTCGCCATGGCCTTCATCATCAGCGTCATGCTCATCGCAGCCAATCAGATGCTGCGCAACGGCATGGAGTAGCGACACCACTGTGAGCGGGGCGGAGCCTGCATGTGCATGTCTGTGGATGAAGTTGTCGAAACTCAAGAAACAAAACCAAACACCTCACTACTGAAAAGAGGAGCTTTTTATTCTTTTTTTTATTTGTATTCTCCCGTTACTTCTCCACGCAGACCAAGCGACACAGGAAGTGTAGAGGCGAGCCAAGCCAGCATGTTACACGGGGCCTCATCTCTCAGGCAGGGACTTTAAAGGGCTGACTTTCTGCTTTTCGTGCCACCTCTGTTCCCTAATGCAATAACACGCAGGAGTTCATAAACCGTCGCCGTCTCCTCCGTGGCTTCAGATATTTCAGCAGGGATTCGCTGATGAGCTTCTGCTGGGTTCGGGCCTGCTGTCGATGTAGGAAGGCAAAAGTAATTGGCAACTCATTACACCTTTGTGGAGGGAGAGTTACAGCATCCACTCCGGAGACTATTTATGTCTGCTCTTGCCAGAGTGCTTTTCTGGCTCGGGGGATGGTGGGAGGCCGGGGAAGGAGCGCTCGTTGTCGTCCATAATTAAATCCATAGTCGTCAGCTCCAAAAATCCATGAGCCTGACACATAGTTTTCATCATTTCGAATGTGCTCTGCTATTCGATTGTGCGATCTTCCTGTGTCTAATGCTTTTCCTGAAGTGGTTTGTAATGAGCACGCCCACACAAAATGTTGAAACACAACGGAAAGTTGTGCAGATTTCCACAAAATTAGAACTGCCGTCATTCATAAGTTCTATTTCCATGTTTGTTCCGACAGTTGTTTTGTTCAAACTGGTACAGCATGGCGAAACAGGTCTAATTCCCAGGAAATGAATGTATATCTTGAAAGCATTTTAGGTTGCTTTGGGTAAAATTATCTACCATATAGAGTCCTGCAGTCGTGACGTCAAAACCCAGAAGACTAATTCGCCATGGGTTCCCTCAAGATTTTCCTATGGGTTTTTATGATGGGTTTTTTTCAATTTATGAGTAAAACAAGATCTGTGGTTAATTTAAATTGATGATATAATTTTGATCTACAACATAAATTATACACATCCATAATGAAAACATGATTTTGAAGCAGTTATTTAAAAAAAAAACATGTTTGTAATAACTATATAGTAATTACATATAAATAATGTTTAGGGTGTGGGTGTGTGCAGTTCATGTTGTACAACAAAACTCCAAGTTTCATCAAGTTTCAGTTACCACAGACCTTATTTTACTCATTAATTGAAAAACCAGATAAAAAAAAAAAAAACACAACAGTGAAACCTGTGGCGAATTAGTCTTCTATGTTTTGACATCACAGCTGCAGCACTTTATTCAGTTATGTTGTTTATATGTTTTTGCAATGACATCTACATTATGTAAACACATTGGTGTACATTTCATTTTTCGTAATTTTTCTTAAGCAGTATTGTTGTAAATTTTCCAAAGAAAATATCTTAAAGAACAGGTCATATGGTATTTTAAAGTGTCTTAATATTGTGTTGGAGTCCCCTACAACAGGTTTAAATGCATCTAAGGTCAGAAAACATTGTAATTTTCTCAGAATATACATTTAATATTAGAGTCATTTGCCAATGATTTCGAAACGATTCGTTCCAAGCAAGTTTGGAGCAAACCCCTCCCTTCCATAAGCCTACTCTGCTCTGATTGGTCAGCTGGCCAAGCCTGCTGTGATTGGCACAGAGAGGAGTCCTTGAGCAAGTTAGCGAGCACTACCATTGACAAAGCACCTTTACATAAAACAATAATATAGTGCTCCAATCTGTTCTTATAATAATGACATAAAATACAAAAACACTTGCGAAATCGTGCAGAAGCAATTTCACAATGATTATAAAGTCTGTGCGCTACACTACATTCTGTATTATTAAACGAAGTAATTAGAACAACGTCAGTCTACATTCTTAGGAAATAGTGGGTTCACAGAGAATTATCAGAACTACTTCATAACAAAATATATATTGTGTGTTTGATTGGTCCAGACGCTACAGGATTATGCAAATGTGTTACCCAGTGACGTTTACCGGTAACAGGCAAAAGATTCGAAAATATGACGACTCGTTAAGGCGATTCAGAATCGACTCTCTCTTTTGAGAGACAATATCTTTATTTATCATGCACTTTTTTGATTAACAACTTTGCAGATTTTTTTCATTTAAGGATAGCTACGTTATAAAACCCATATGACCTGCTCTTTAACATTCTCCAAACAAGATTTACTTTGCAAAATTACATAAAATGTTAGGAATTATATAAAGAATTCCATATTATATAAATCATTTTATATTTAATTAAATATTATAAACTTAATTCTTACACAATAATTTGACCTTTTAAAATGACAAATTGCAGTTTTGCTTCTGAATTATTTTAAGTTTTAGATAATGGAAAATGACAAAAATACAGATAAAATGATATATCTATAAAGATATATCTACTTGAGAAGATAAATTTGAAAATGTAAAACATTTGTATTTTAAGTACTATAATTGTATATTATTATATAATGAATTTATAATATTGTTATATAAATAATATATAACTTAATCATTATTAATATTTATAAACTTATCAACAAGATATATATCTTCTCTGGTAAATTGATCTTGTTTTCCATCAGAAATATCTAAACACTCTTAAAACAAGACAATATACTGCTAAGATTTTAGATTATTTGATTATGATTTCAGCCACCTTTAAGACTGTAATACTCTCAGGTCAGTTTAACACATCTGACCATATTTAAAATCTTTTCTGACAAAATTAGAGCTGAAAATGTCTACAGGTTCCATCTGGGCCTAATGAGTGAAGATGTGTGGGTTTTGCAGTACTTCAAAGCGCTTGATTTGTCTTAATGCTACATTTCTGGCCAGTTATCAGTGTTTTTAAGGGTAATACCTGTTGAGACCTGTTCATTTTCAGCATTTCTGAAAGGTTTATGACGGCTCTCAGATTCATGTTAGTGGATGAGCTTGGGTTGTTTTGCACTGCCATCAACCTGCTAGAAAAATCTTTGTTACTTTTATTACACCAACCTCCCTTTTTGAGCTGCATTGAAGATGTCCTTCACTTTATCATGAGCCACAGTCATCTTTGGTTATGGCTATGTGTATGGTGCATGTTCATATTGCATTTCATTCTCTGTCTGTATTAAAGCCACCGTAGCACTGCATTGTTGATGTTTCAATAGATGTATGTAATGAATGCTTCACATCTTCAATATTGGGATTGTAAAAAGGAAAAGAATGATACTGGAAGATGATTGTATCTTTCACATAGGTGCGATGGCTAAAACTCTGTGCCTGATGCATTTCTTCTTTTTGTGTTTCATGAATGTCTCCTCTGGACACCTGTAGAAAACGCACTGGTATGTTCTCCACCATGTTTCCTGAGGTCTGCTTCCACTTTATAATGCATGTGAATGAGCAGAACTTTGTAAATAGAGCTTTACATGTGTGTTTTCTGTTCGTGCATGATAGTTTAAAACAGTACATTCTGCACAGATCGTGTCAGGGCTACTGAGGGGGCGGCTGAAATCAATATACGTCTGCCAGCTCTCCGTTCTCCCCCAAGACCCCTGACTAAAGCCATATTTGTCTGCACAGGTGTACTTTAGAGAATAAAGGTGCGTACACTGAAATTATAAAGGTATAATGTTAGTCCACTCCAACCCCTTTTTCTCACTCAAATGTTGATCCATGTGCGGTTGGAGCGAGTGGATAGTTCATTCTGGTACAATAGCGACACCTGGTGGTGGACGTGATTACTTCATTCACTGTGTTTGTCCTCATACTGTCCTTGTCTGATCTAGAATGTAACATTAGCTTGTAGCATTCAACTAAAGATCTGGATGGGTTGATAAAATGATATATACTATGTGTGTAGATGATTTTGACCTCCACAATTGTGTGGTGAATGTGAAAAATTACACCTTAATTATATTCTTGGGTTGGGTGTGATTTTAGGAATGATGGAATGTTATACCAATATACACAGTCAATTATTTCAGTTTATGCCATTATTTAAAGACAATATTGTAAAATTGCCTTTTAGGATAATAATGTGAACAAAGTATCCCATGAAATCTGATTAAAGTGGTTCTGTAGGCTATTTAAAGGGTTAGTTCATCCAAAAATGAAAATTAGCCCATGTTTTACTCACCCTTTAAAGCATACTAGGTGTATATGACTTTCGTCCGAATTCGACGAATCGAATCGGAGTTATATTAAACATTTTCCTTGCTCTTCCAAGCATTAGAATGGGAGTAGGCAGGTGTTTTTGTTCAACAGTCCAAAAGTAGTCAAATAAAGCGCGTGCATCCATAATAAAACGTGCCTCACACGTGAATAAAGGCCTCCTGTAGTGAATCGATGCGATTTTTTTAGAAAAATATCCATATTTAAAATATTATAAATACTTTTTTCTCACTTCCGCTGACTGTCATACGTGCAAGCCATTCCGGGCAGATGACGTAGGATGTATGTGCAGCACACGCGCCTGTGAGATATGCTAGTCTCGCGAGTTTGTTTACAGGAGCAAAGGAAGCAAAGTTTCCTTACTTTACCAAAGGAAAACCAGTCTCCCCTTGGCTTATATCGAAAGCATTTTTCTTTACAAATCCTCGTTTAGTGCTTCTAATTCGTGACTGGCTTTTTGTTTTGCTCTCTCTAATTTTCATTTTTGGGTGAAGTAACCCTTTAAAGTGGGTTGTATTTCAAAAGAAGACTTTAGGGTTTGGCAAACACAGGTGATGTGGTGGTGCAGTTGGCTACATTCAATTGTAAAAAAAAATAAATAATGTAAATAGCCATATTTATAGTTATTCACTTAATGATATATCTGTATACTTTGCATGCATAATATTTAGCTATGTAGTTGAGACTAGCTTCTTGCAAGCTGCCCATAGATGATTTTAATATACATATTCAAATATGTACAGGACAAATGCATAGAGTTTATGCAATAAAGCATTTTTGTAATATTTGTGGCATCTTTTCTGTTTCCTGAAAAAATAGGCCTACCTCAAGACATATCACACTGCCCATTACTGATTAATATAGTTTTTGTTGCTCTTGTTTATCATTCCATAAAAACTGTTCTCTGTTGTGGGTGCGTGAACTGAATAGACAGACTTGAAGCAACTGTATGTAGTTTGTGTATATTTTTGCGACTTTGTAGCCCCCTACAGTTAAGTGAGTGGGATTCACTGTCATAATTACAGAGGATCTCTGTACACGTGCATTTGTTGCTGCGCCGTAAAGCAATCAGCCCTCTTCGCGGATTTCGTACTTGCTCATTATTACTCCCAGAACAGACGTTCGGAGGGAAATGTGGGAAAGAAACAGAAAATGTTTGACTTAGAAGTCAGTGTACCATCAGAATGATTTTTAAACTGATATTTTAAGGTAAAAAAAAAATGCAATTGCTTTAGTATTTTCACAGTATCTCACAAGCAAAATTGACATTGTTCCACTGTCACAAGGATGCAGGTAAGTTAATTCTGAGTATTTTAGACAATATCATTGCCAGTTACTTTACAGTTGTCTATTCTGTAGTTCCAAATAGTTCCAAACAAGACTACAGCAGAATCAACCCCTATCAACACAGAGCAGCGGAGTTTCGGTCCTAAATGAGTAGTATTTTGAAATAATTTGAAAGGGTGAGGGAATAATTCAGTGACTCATTTTTAAAAAATGTAAGAACAACTGTTTTTCATGCAGTTCTTTAAAAAAGTTTATATATAGTTTTTTAGAGAAAAATGGGATTGTTAGAAATAACTCGCTATTGCATAAAAATGTTAGAATTGTTAGATAAAAATTACCTCAATTACCTTTTTTTTTTTTTTGTCGGAAAACAGCCAAAATTGCAAGATGTAAACTCAGAATGTGGAGAAATAAAGACAGAATTGCGCGATGTAGACTCAAAATTGCGAGTCAGAATTCTGTTTATATCTGGCAATTTTGACTTTTTTCTTAAATTGTGAGACAAAGTCATAAATACCTCATAATTTCCCATGCCAGAAAATGGCTTTCATAGGAATAACTGGATTTGCGCAAGTAAATATAAACAAGTACAACAGTAAATGTGACACTGTAACAGACGAGCGTCACAGACAGGGATCATGACAGACACATTGCTTGGTATACATGTAATCGGGAGTTTTGCACGAGGGCAAAATGTCCCCCTAGCAGATTTTGTTTTTTGTTGGTCACGCAAATTGTGGCGTTGACCAACAGAAATCTGCTTGGTTTGAAAGTGACTCCATGCGACAAAGGACCTTTTTTTGCCTGTGCCTGTGAAATTTTGCCAATGTGACTGCCTTAATACAAAGTCCCAGTGCAGTTAGACTGTACCACCACTTTTGGAACTGAGATGCAAAGCACAAAGACAAATGGTAGCTAAGTAATGGGTTTTAGTCAAAATATGAAGCCATACAACACTTATTCACAGTCACACATCAGCCATGCCTCTAAGCTCTGAGGGTGAATCACTAAGTTAATGAGCCAGTAATGAATCATGATGATCAATATCAATGGTGATGAACTATGGGGGCGTATCATCTATTTAAATTATTTACTCTTGTACTATGAACTACAAAGTCATTATGTGTATTCGAGAGCTATGAACCGCTACAATTACTCACTGCTTCACAGCTTACCATAAAATGAAACAAGCCTCCTATAAAATGTGAAAGCCTCTGCAACAAAGAAAATCCATAAGCCGATAGGCCTATACTGCAGAGCTGCCGATACAGCTGCCAGAGTTGTTTAATATGGAAAGATGAAAAAGAATATTTGCCCTAATTCGAGTTGTAAATGCATAATAAACAGCGGTTGAATATTTAACAGCCCTCAAACATGTGGCGCGGCTCACATGACTGGGAGTTGTCAGTCACACAGAGCCTGAAGCATCACAGCAGGAGAGGTTTGGCTCAGTGGTAGGAGGCGCTCAGAGGGTCGATTAGTATGCACAGCTGATGTCCTTTTAAGTTAGAACAGCCTTACCATTGCTGAAGGAAGGATTGTTGTGTGAGAAAGCTCAGCTGGTGCTTTTTGACACATCAGATCAGCCTCTTGGTAGCCCATCATCCTCCTGTCACAGGAACATTGAAGTGTTTGCCACTAATCTTCAAATGACAACCTAACAATTTTTGTGGAGCGTTACATGCTTTGATCTTTAGATACGCTGCTTTGTTGTTGCCAACAGTTCCTCAGGTAAAGTAACAAGTGAGGTACTTATATAGGGCGTTTAAATTCTTTTTTAGATTTAGGACACCGAGCACTGCAACGCAGCAGTTCACCATTTTATTCAAATCAGTCAAAATGGAAGACGGTATGGGTGCAACAACATCTGAGGAAACTGTAGTTACATGTACAGTTTATGACTCATGTAACATGTCCTTATGTAACTCGGTCGACAATCCCTGACGATCATTTTTCCTATATTCCTATCGCCTACATACTGGCCTTGTTGCTTTAGTGTGGTTCAAAGTAACAGTATGACTACTACAGGATCCATTCAACAGCAGATAGAGCTCAGTTACCATAGTTACTGTTAAACTGCACACATATCATAATGTCATTCTCGTGAGGGGCTACTGTAGAAAAAAAATATGCAATAAATAACATATTTCCAGAGCAGACAGCTTATTTAAACAGAAGACACACTGGGATCCATAGCCGCTGACGGTGAAAACCTAACGCAAGAGAATGTAAGAAGAAATACAGATAGCACAACTCAAAATTACTACAAATTAAGTCTAAATAAAGCTGTTATGAACATATGAACACGTTTTCCCGGATGTGAAGTAAATCTGCATGTGTATATTTTAAGAATAGACTTAAAGGATAAGTTCACTTCCAGCATTTTTCTCCATATAGTGGACTTCGATGGTGGCCAATGGGTTGAAGGTCTAAATTGCAGTCTTCTACACAGGGTTCTACATGATCCCAGCAGAGGAATAAGGGTCTTATCTAGCCAAACGATCGGTTATTTTCTAAAAAAAAATTATTTATATAAAATGTATATACTTTTTAACCACAAATGTGTGACTTCACGCATTGCGTAATCATGTTGGAAAGGTCATGCGCGGTTAGTACTTCATCTGTGTACTTCGGTTCAAAAAGGTAGGGTAGGGTGAAAAACTCCATCTCATTTTCTCCTCCAACTTCGAAATCGTCCGACATTGTTGTTTTACCTTTTTTTTTTTTGTAAAGGGCGTTTGACTTTCTTTGCACATTCGCTTTGTAAACACAGGGGCTGCGTTCTGGTCCATTTTTTATGCCCTTCACTCGCAAACTTCCCTCCGTCTCGTTTACTCGAATGTACGTCATTGATTACATTGCATGAGTGACCACTACTGGTGGAACCCTTGGAATGGGCTGAATTGGAACGTCTTAAGCTTGATCACTTAGAATCCGCTATGGAGTTGGTTTATTGTTTATATTTTTCCCCTTACAATTTTGTTTGGTGCAGCATTCTATATGTATATAGGTGTGCTTGAACTGTTATAAATGTAAAAGAAAACAATCATTTATATTATTTATTTATATTATTTATTTATTTATATTATAGCGTTGTTTGGGGTGGGGATAAATTAAACGCGATCTGCGATGACGTCATATCGTGTTGCATTGTGGTCTATGGAGCGGCCTGAAGTGTGCATATGAAGCAGACTCGCTCCCTCGGTCAAGATCGAGTGGTCGAGGGTCTGTCCATATAAACTACCCCCGTCCACTTCACGAAGTGGAACGCACTCACGCCTTGTTTAACATCTGATGACACACACGATCTATGCTTTATTTGTTTGGGCGAAGAGCACGCACGCAATGCCTCCGAGGGGGCAATCGGCGTGCACTGCGAGCGTTTTTTCCAAGGGGAAAGCTCCGCTCTCGTTTGTCTCTCTTTTCGAGGAAAGAGGGGCAGCCATCTGCTTCCCGCGATTCAGGACCCACCGCTGCTGAGGCACGGAAGGGAATGAGCTTTTTTCAATGTATGCTTCAGACACGGGTCACGACGAGGCGTTCTCCATAGCGACCCCTAGAGGACGCAGTTCGAAGTTCCCATGAAAGGGAACGTCTCAGGTTACTTATGTAACCATTGTTCCCTGAGTAGGGAACGAGACCCTGCGTCCTCTAGGTTTCTTGCCATGCTGCGGATGCAAGCTTCAGACGAAGAAGTGAATGATGTGTAGCTCCCGGCGCCTATTTATACTGTAGTCGCACCGGTAGTGACGTCATGGCTGTCGCCGGCCAACGAGTTGGTGTTTTTTCAATGTATGCTTCAGACACGGGTCACGACGAGGCGTTCCCCATAGCGACCCCTAGAGGACGCAGTGTCTCGTTCCCTACTCAGGGAACCATGGTTACACAAGTAACCTGAGACGGTTTTCCAGAAGGTGGAAATCTGAGGAACCTACAGTATGCAGTGGTGCTTCAAGTGTCTTATTTTTTGTAATGTGGAATGTAGTAAGACCAAAAACCCAAAACACGCAAACATGATCAGCACCCCTTGAGTTCCACACAACTGGATCCATTTTCTAAAGTTCCATGAAGGCTGTAGAGATTCCCGACATTCTAAGGTCGGTGACTCACTGCCCTCAGTCCTGTTTCATCAAATTCTTGATGTTCCACTTCTGGCCAGTGCAGGAACGCAGGATCAGAGTGTAGCCGAAGTAGACATTAGCCGGCACTACCTCAAGACAGCGTCCTGTAGCTCGGTTGATGATTGCTTCATTCTTCAGGGAACAAAAATAAAAAGAATCATTTTAGTGATCAAAGGCAAAAGGACAATTTTTACAAAGTGCTCTATATAAAACATGACCCATTCACCTGTGCAAAGTGCCAAGTTTTCTGCCGTACGCTAGAGACTTTCTCACAATTCAGGAGCTGTGGGTAGCTGCTGATTTTATCGTCCACCACACACCGCGTATCTTCGCCAGTGCTTCCCAGAGGACCCAGGAAAAGATAACCCTCCTTAGTGTAGCGACCCAGCTACAAAATAGACCACAGAGGGGATAATATGAATTTATTTAATTCAGTGATTTGGTAACTGGGTCACTGAGTCATTCAGGGGCATTTTGGCACCCTATGCTGATGATGTTTGCCAGATAGTTTTTGGCAGTTCCATAATGACTATTAATTTATTATAATTATTAGCTGGGTCAAGCTCCAGTGCAGATATGCAAACTTGTCAAGACTAGATCTAGAAGTTACAGTCTCCAGATTGACTTCTTGAACTAGAAAATATAATTTCTTTCTTGTTTCGCGCCATCTTTTCATTTCATTGCTTAGTTGCCAGATGAACAGAATGCGGAGAACTATGTCATGAAGAGACTCCCTCTAGACGTAACCTATTTCCTGCGTGCAGAGTGAGTAGAGGTTTAGTGGAGGTCAGGTCTGTGGAGATGTATAGCTGTGAGGAGTTGCGGCTCTACCTGAGGGCCCCAGCCATGGCAGGGGTGCAGAGTTGCTGTGTGGTTTTCCTTTATACCCTGGTCCACACACAGATGGGTCACATTGGTATTGCGTATCTAGAACACATTAAAAAGATGTAAGCAGCTGATAGTTTGGCCTGCTTTTTGTTGATTAAAACGTTTTTCTCTTACTATGAAATCTGTTTTGATAAAACTAAGACATAATTAACGATGCAGTGCCTTCTTAAAATGATGGTTCGCACAAAAGTGAAAATTCTGTCACCATTTACTCACCCTCATTACATCGCTTTTTTTTGTATATTACAAATATTTCTGGCACCTTGACAGAAAACTGGTGCTGTTAAACTCCAAAAATGACAAAAAGGCATCATAAAAGTTTCACAAAAGTGGTTCATATGACTTCTAAATCCATACGCTAGGGTTGTGTGAAGAGCCAGTTGAAATTTAAGTTTTGGCTTCATTGACTCTAAACACCATTTTGGTGTCACAGTGGTAACTAATATGAAATCATTGCATGACTTGTCAATATTTTTGAATAAACGCGTACAAAACTTGAATGCTGCAGTAAGATGATTGGTAAGATTTTAGCCAAATCATGGTTGACTCCTCACACTATTATATCATTGGTTTCAGAAGACTTTGAATATAGTACAAGAGTCAAACTGATCACTTGCGTGACACTTTTATGGTTATTTTTGTCATTTTTGGGAGCTTGACAGCCCTAGTCCCTATTCACTTTCATTGTCCTCAAGTGCGCTGAGGACCTTCTTCAAAATTTGTTTTTTTTTGTTTCCTAGAAGAAAGTCAGACAGGTTTGGAAGGACATGAGGGTGAATGGTGCAGTCACATTAGAAAAATTTTGTAGGCAAAAAAGGTCCATTATCTTGTCAGTTTGATGTATAAAGCACAGCTCACACACTTTCAAACCAAGCAGCTTTCTGTTGGTCAACATGGCAAATCCATGTAACCATATTGAACCCATTGTGAACTCTGCGTAGTGAAATCTTTCGTCCATGAAAATTTGCCAAAAGATAATAAATGTGACCGCAACTTTATTCATTTAATGTGGTACTCACCTCTCCATAAAAGAGAGTGTTGTTGTATCTCCTCATCTCTGGATAGATATTGTCGAGGTACCACTCAAAGTTTTTGCACTGGAGTCTTTTCCTGAGCGCTAGTCTCTGGGATATGTCTCCATAGTCAATGCCATGGTTCTGTATGGACAAAGAGAGTGAAGTATTATACTATTTATTATTATAATACTGCAAATATGTCAAGTGCTTACCTTCATTGGGAGGTTCCATGCCAAATAGACATTTGATTTGTATTGGTCCATCCAGACTTCTGCCACCCTAAGTGCATTGCGCCTAGTGTGAAAGGCAATGTTACTGTGGTAGGGCTTTTTTGTTCTTGCAATATGGGCCACTCTGGAACAAGGCAGAACTTCCATGCTTCCCCCACACAGCCAAACCTGGGATTTAAAAATACACATACACCTATCAAACTTCAGTTCTGGCATAATTTTAGAAGAAAAAAAACTAAAATTCTTTTCAAATGAAGGCTCTGTGCACTGAGCGTAGGGAGGCTAAGTTATGAATGTTCTACTTTAGCGGAGGGATGTGGGTGGCATACTAACCCTGATTCCCAGCTCTATATTTTCGCCTCCATACACGTCCATCCCTGCGTCCAGTAGGCCCAACTCCCCAAAGTATTCCCGGTTTACCACAAAAGAGCAGCCTATCATTGCAGGCGTCCTAAAAATACAGATTTTACACTTATTTTCAATGCTGTTTCTTCTCTAATATACTGAATAATTAACGAAGAAATAATGAATGTCAATATTGAAAAAATAAGTATAAATAATTGAAAATAATGTAATATATTGAGAATAGTGGCAGTGTAAAATGTATCTTTTAACTACTAAAATATATTTTATTTTATAAGCACTGTTTACACTATATTAAGACCACTTTGCATTAAGCCACTTTCATACTTTTTTCATAACCATAGGTTATGAAATAGTGCAGTGCTGAACGGCAGTGCCAAAGGAACACAGTGTGAAACAATGCTGTGCTAGAATATCATGGCCAGTTGTTTAGCAACAGAAAACCAATCACAAACCAAACAAGCCAACATCATTAAATATTAATGTACTTTGTACAGTCACATAAACTTTCAATTCACTCTGTTTAGTTTCAGCCTTTGAGTGAAACACGTAAAAATACTCCTGTGTATTTTCCTTCTATACCTTTTTGTATGTTTCAGAGGATTTAAAACAACCAGAGCAGATATATAAAGTGACATTGCACAGCTGGACAAGCAAGTCCTGCTATAAAGAGTTTGCGCCCTCTTTGTGTGCTGTACTTGTCCAATCATTTCTTATATATTTCTTATAATCATTTCTTTATAATCTATTTTAACGATGTCCTTACTACCTTTCTGGGCCTTGAACGCGTCAGTTGCGTTGTTGTCTATGCAGGGTCAGAAAGCTCTCGGATTTCATCAAAAATATCTTAATTTGTGTTCTGAAGATGAACGAAGGTCTTACAGGTTTGGAACGACATGAGGGTTAGTAATTAATGACATTTTTCATTTTTGGGTGAACTATCCCAAAAGTAAATGAAAAATATGAAACCCAGGACTGTGTTCAGAATGGATGAAAGTCCAGTAGGATCCTACCTGATAGGTGCAGAAGTGTCTCCTTCATCCCACCACTGTTTCGGTGGGCTGATATACATACACCAGAGCTCCCAGTTATAACCATGGCCTGAGTTCTCATAGCGTTCCAGCTCAAACGTCTCGTCTTTAATGTTATCTATGGAGGGCAGTATGATCCTCTTGTGGTTCTCCTTGATTCTAGACAGAACTGGTTCAGCCCTGACAAGGGGATTTAGAGGTTAGATCATTATAAGCAAAGCTGTATTGCACAGTGCCAATAACACTTCTTCAACTCTGCTGTGGAGCTAAATCTAATCCTGGCTTGCGAATGTGTTGGCTGGTTTCTCACCTCACATCAGCCAATTAGATGGACCTACAGAGGAAACATGAACTGAAACTCTGTTTACACGTGGTATTCATATCTGTTTGGTTTGCTCATGAAAGCACAACACTAAATACATCTGTGAACAGGGTCCACTATGAAAGGGTTGCTTTCGTAGTGTAGACGTTCATGTGGACAAATGCATTCGAAGACTCGCCTTGGGCTTCTTTTGAGAAAGCACTCCAAAAAAATTTATTCCACATTCGCTATGCTGTGCCAAAACACATTGATTACAATTGCGTTACCATTTGTACCCTTTCCATTCTCTTGGTTTCCCACTCCCTCGTAAGCAGCGTAATGGCTCCATTTAATTAAATTGTATTTGTGTATCGCATTTGGCGCATCCATGAAAAGGATGTAGAGCAGAGGTGCCCAATCCTGTTCCTGGAGATCTACCATCCTGCAAAGTTCAGCTCCAACCCTGATCAAACACAACACAACTGAACCAGCTAATTAAGATCTTCAGGAGCACTTGATAAATACAGGCAAATGAACTGAAGTCTGCAGTTAGGCAGATCTCCAGGAACAGGATTGAACACCCCTGATGTAGTCTTCAAGTAGTCACAGAAGACACATTTAAAGCACATGTTAAGACCAGGGCTGTGTCTAAAATCGCCCCCATACCCTTAAATAGGCACTATTTGAGGGGACAGCCATTTGTAGTGGTGTCCGAAACCATAGTGGATGTTATCAAGTTCACACATTCAATCCCATAATGCACCGCAATAACGAGTGTACAACCAATGTACACTCAACAGCTAGAGAATACCCATAATGCAATGTTAGGGTTGTGCCGAATGAATTCCCGCATCTCGCCAGAAGATGGCGCCTGCAGCTGAATCATCCATTCATCCATTTTCCAAACTGCTTGTCCAATGTGGGTTATACATGCTAGTTTCCATGAAAGAGTTCAAGATAAATATTTTCATTACTACTGGAGCTGACAGTTTGCTTAGTTTCAAATGTTTATTAAGCAGCAAGCAAACTATGCAGAAGTGGCAGCCCTTCCAGTGCACTTAGCACACGAATTTGCTCATTTGTTTTCATTTACTCCTTCAACTGGACTATATTAGAGGACTAATGTAGGGAATAGTGAATGAGGGTATAGGGGGCAATTACAAACAGCACAGGTGTAAACAGTAATGCACCTTGGCTAACCACTTGTGACCAGATCACTGAAAATGCATCTTAATATACCAGGTGTCAACAGGGCCAAAACCACATGTGACAGCATTCCTTGCAATACTAGTCTTAGGTGTTCTCAAATCTCTTTTAGAGAGGTTTGAATCACTTTCAGATGGTCACCAGTTTTGCCAGACTGGAAATTCAGCTAAACCATCCTGGTAGGATGTGAGACCAGCTAAACCCATTTTGATCCAATTGAGACCAGTAAACCATATTAGGCTGGTTAGGTTTTTTAAGTTTTATACTTTTCCAATATGTAAAAAAAAAAAGTTTAGATTTCGGATTAAAATTCATTAGTATATTTGAGAGAAACACTGATTTTCTATGCTTTTTCTTTCTTATTTTGACTTTGTAAACACACTTTACCACTGGCATAGTGATTAATGCATGAAATCACAAATTTAGAGACCCTCCACTTGAAATCCAATCACAAGAGTCACAAGAGACATATTTGAGATATATGTTACTACTGGTTGTAAACAGCGGTCTGTCTTGGCTGAGCAGCTCAGTTTAGATCACCCAAGACGGATGTTAATACCAGGTGTAAACAAGGCCTGAGAAGTCGAGGTGTGAGTGAGACCATCTATAAAACCAGCAGCATATTGTAGCAAGTGCTAGATTCTCACCATGCAGGCGTGAACTCAACATGGGCATCAAAGAAGCCAGTCACCTCCCCAGTGGCCACTTTCCAGCCCTCGATGCGAGCCCGGATGAGGCCTTCTCTCTTCTGATTGCGCACTATTTTGATAAGACCCGAGTAGCGTTTGTTGACATACTCCTCCAGTGGCCCTTTCAGTTGTACTGTCATGCATAAACACACACACACATAAACGGTAAAGAGGGAGAAATCTCGTTTCATGGTGCATGAGTGCTCGTCGCTGTGTTTAAACCAGACCAGAGGGAATGTGTCTCCTACACCAAAACTCTTCCGTGCCTTTGATCTGTGCTACGGGGATCCACACCACCCCCCTGGAAAACACGTTCTTGGAAAGTGTTCCCGATCCCCACGTTAAACACTGTCATCTGCATTCCGAGTGACAAACCGTGAATCACTGACATTATGAGGACAGAGATGGGTGTGCTGCCCCCTCATTTCAGCAAATGCAGACTTTTCCCCCTGCGCTGATGGACGATTGGCCCTCCGCCACCGGCTCATGCCAACAATGTGATGGAAATTGAACTGTCTCTCTGGGAAGGCACACACTGTGATACAATAGACAGGCATGGCCATGCGCAACGTGAGCAAAGAGTGCTTGGCAAACTACTCCAGGTTATCAGTGTTGACTCTCGCGCTCAAATGCAACACAATGGATTAAACCTTGTCAGAATGGTTTATGAAGCTAGATTTTTGCATTTTCTATTTTCTAAGTTTCTAAGGTGTTCTGAGTGGTTTTTAGTGCATTGGTATGCGGTTACTGGGGGTTTTGGATGAGTATTTAGTGGTTTCTTATTGGTACAAGGCAAAAGAAGGTACGTACGAGTTCTGTAGGAAAGATCTTACTTATGAGTGTAATGCATATGAACCACCACAATGTCATAATTACAAGTGGGAAACTCAGGATTTTCTTGGAGTTGGGGACATTTCAGTGAGAAAACATGGTGGATGCAATTGATGCAACATCTGTAGGTGACAGGAAATGTGTTGAAATGCATGAAATTACTATTTTTCACTTACAATAAAACTAGCTAAGTTGAATGTACAAAACACAGTAGTATTGTACAATTATAATAGAATTTATAACTTTTTGCTTCACCTTTAGAAGATAACACAAAAACACACCTGATGCACATTCATTATTCATTATTGTAGTAAGAGTAAAAAAAAAATTAAAAAAAATGTTTGCTTAATTTTGTGCATCGCCATCTTGCTCCAACCAAAGTGACTTGAACACACCTGACAACACAATTATGACTTCCCAACTGGTAAATACAAACTTTCCAGGAGGACTTCCTTTTTTTCATATAATTTTATGGTTCGCCAGAGAAAACCATTAGAATAACCACTTAATATGATTTTGTGCCATGTAATTTAGAGCCAAAATTGTCTTGTTTCTCACCGTCATCACTGTTGTCATCCACCAAGATGATTTCCTTTAGGAGATGAGCTGGTGTGTGGTTGACAGCTGAATGGACTGAACGCAGGATGACAGACAACGCCTCATTTACAAAGATGAAAATGATGGAGATCTGTGGCAGGTCACGGGAATAAAAGGCCTTTTTGCATCTATAAAAACACACATACATGGATACAGAGGATTTTGTTGTCTTTGAAACAAACCACCTCTTTGAATCTTTGGTGCACAAGGCTGTGAAACCTAACAAAAGAAAAGCCACTTTTTGCTTTGCTTATTTGCACATTTTCACTGTAACAATTACAGAGCCTAGTGGGTCTCAAAAATGAAACTTATTTATAAAACCTCACTTAATTGAACTTAGAAACACTAAATGTCACTTTCCTGTGAATCTGAGTCACTTTTTAATCTTGGTAAAAGGAAAATCTCTTAAGCAAATGGTTCTAGACATTCTAGCTAAACTATTGCAGTGGGTTTTTGTGATTAAATGACAAATATGACAAAGAATACAAAACTATGCCATAACTTTGCTAGTCAGTTAACTCATTCCATATTACACCAAGAGCAAAAACTGTAGGTTTTTGTATAGATATTTTTTAGGGTAAAAATTTTTAAAAAGCCAGTGACACTCACTTGCTGGGTCGATAATCTGGAATAGATCTATCCAGAGAGATTTTGTCACTCAGAAATGCATTGTAGCCATATTTCTCCCTCAGGTATTTGGCCTCCTTTTCTTCCTCTGGCGTAAGTGTTGCTGGTAGACCTCCTCTACCTCGGCCTCCAAAACCTTCAATGAGTCCAAGAGACTTGGACAAACCTATTCAACACAAATGACTCATGGCTTTCTTGTTCTGTAAAAGGGCATTTTTGTGAATAATGCAGTTTTTTATGATAATGAAGAAGTTACCATTCAGTTGTCTGTACACCACATCTTCCAGTGATCCCAGTCTCTTTAAGAGCACATCATGAGTGATGCTGGTCTCCTGAGCAGATCCATTCAGATGCGTCTGTCCTCTCACATCAGCAGCCACCGCCTGTTGACCAACAGCTTTGGTTGTGCGTAAATTGCACTTGCCCCAAAAAGTGATGAAGCCGGCCATCGTAAACACATTCAGCACCAGTAAGATTTTCCATCTTCTCATCACAAAGGCCATGAAAGATTTTGGTGTTCGGAATCCAGCGAATCGCATCTTAAAAACATAAAGCAAATGTAATGTGGGATGTGCACTGAACTGATGGAAACCATAAACTGTCTATTTTATTGATAGACACAGTAATAAAGACAGTAGGCTAAGTCAGCAAGGGAGGACACTAGGAAGAGAACATGACCTGGGCTGGACTTAAACCCAAGTCTACCATGAGGCTTTATATGTCAAAACACTCACACTGCCAACATCTAGATACCATTTTATTACCAGTTTATTAGGTCAACTTTAACAAAAATGCTTTCGAAGATGTTAAAAGATTTGCTTTCATGTGTAAATGAAACGCAAAATAACATCATTTGCTATTATCCTGACAGGGTATTTTATTATTTTCATTACATTCCCTATAATACTTTATTCTGATTGGTCAATCGTACCATTCAGCGACGAAATAAATATAAATTAACGCTGTAAAACAGACCACAAAATATCATATCATATATGCCGGGACTACTTTCGAGTGTCTTGAATCTCTCCGCCGTCTCGCCCTCTCTCTCTCTCTGCTCATACAAGCACAAATTAAAATAATTAATAAGGCTTTATCTTTCGACTTGTAACGGTTAATAACTTTGTTACATTGGCTTCGGAGTACTCAAGTATTACTTTTACAGTGAACAAAACTTTTGATAACAAGATGTCCAGGGGTCCCCACAGAACCACGAACCGGTAGGACACAAGAAGATCGATGAGAGAGACTTTAAGATAAGGAATTTTCGGAACGACTAGCTACTCTTTATAGGCTTTATTCATAATAATATATAAATTCGTATTTTAATAGCCTATTTATTAGCCTATAATAGCCTAAATATTCTTGCTAAATTAATAGTTTTCTACATATTTGGGCTATTTTTCTTTGCGGATCTTAATCTACAAGTAACAAAATAATTGAACTAAAGTCATTTCCATTGCCCGTGTATTTATTTAATAAGTAGCACGTAATAAGCTAGATAATGTACACTGTCTCAAAATAAACCATTTCAGGATGATAATGACCGACTGACCGTACATTAAAATAATGTTTTTCATTTAGAATTCTCTATTTATAATTTCACATTTAATTAACATTATTTCTGCTATATTTAGCCTATCTGGCAAAATCCATTTATGCGTTTGTAAGGCACCCTTTCGTATCACCCAAAAATATGTTCAAGGTAGGCAGCTCACTAGGTTTTGAGACACAACAGGCTTCTGAAAATCAGACATAGGCTACATTGTATGAATCTCCAACATAACCAACTGACCAACAACAAATGTAACTGACAACTTGAATCAGACTGCGTTTTATGATGCTTGTCATTTGGCTGATATAGCCTAGTTTTTTTTTTTTAATTACCATAACCACTTACCATTTTGGATTGGTAAAATGCATCCTGCACTTGAATATCGAGTCCTCCTGTGCGCTTTCATCCGTATTCACAAGTTCTTATAAATAAACTCCACATGGGAATTTTATTTAGGCTACATACTTCAAAGAGTCACAGCAAAGGGTCCTAAACTGCAGTCATTCATCATAAGACATCTGTCAGTCAAATCTAAAAGGTCTAAACTGACAAACACAGCTGTCCTTTAATGGAAATAATGTCAGAAGATGTTTCGTGAAGTCAGACTTATCGTGTGTGTTTGCCCTGCATGAGCAGAAGTATGCAAGATCCCTCCACTTCAGCTACGAGACTCCGCAGACGCAACAATCATCTTCAGCCGGATTCATCCACAGTAAGCGCAGTATTCATTATAAACGCTATTTCATATCCTGCTGCTATGTGACGCTCATCGATGATCCACGCTGATCCACGAGCATCCCGCATCTCGTGCCATCCACACTGTTTTCTGCAGTTAATGTGCACTGTTAAATCGTGTTGTCCACATAATGCTGGATAGCGGCATAGCGCCTCGGCTGAGACTGATGGAAAACACGGAGTGGATGCAGCATGTGGAGCAGGTGTGTGGGATTAAAGAACTGCTCACGCGTACGCCACTTAACTCTGTTCACCTACATGGACGATACCAAAACGTCATATACTCGTATACAGAGGCGGATTTAGTGATTTGGGGGCCCCAGGCAAAATATAGGAATGGGGCCCTATATATTTGCACACATTTACCTAGATCAGCCTTGAGGTTCCTTTTTTGTTGTGATGCTTGCTGCTGTACAGTGATGCCCCACAGTTGTCCAATGTTTCTACATTTTTCATGTACATGTTATAATGGCTTTCTTTCATGCTGTAGACCACGAAATAGCAATTGATTTACAGTTTTCACAAAAACAATATAAATTATAAAATGATAAACCTCACAACTGAGCCTTTAAACCATTTTTTAAGAAAAGAGATGAGTTGGAAATATAAATTATGATATTAATTTAAAACGAGGTTATGTGTGTGGATTTTGCATTGGTCTGAACAAAAAAATGCAGACGGGATTATTGAAAATGCACATTCATTCTCTGCCAGCAGGAAGCGCTTTTGGAACATCAGAAATACAGCGGTTTCCCCGGTAACAGCTGTAAACAAAGGCTGCTCATAAAGGCTACTTTATCAGATAAAATGAAAATGCGAAACTTTTCTGAAGACAGTCGGTTCCCTTCAGAGATTCATTCATATAAAAACTTTTAATTACTGAGAATGAGAAAAATATAGCCTATATTGAGGATGAAAGTCCACTGAAGAGTTACCAGCGTAAGCCTGTGTGCTGAAGGCTGTCTAATTCTAAACTTTAAAATACACTTATTTTAGTTATTTTAACTAAAAAGCAAAAAACAAATCTATCTATGCAAAAAATATCAAAATATTTATTGACTACGTTGCATGACCTTCATCAGGAATTTTTTTCATTCTTTTTTAGTTATTTTAACTTCAAATTTAAATGAAAATGAAAAAATATTGAAATGGAAATTATACATTTACTCACCTAAGGATTATATCAACCAAACAAGTAACTGCGTAAGCGTCCTCTACTTGGGTCCTTCTCATAAATGAGTACGCGGCATTTAAAACAATAAACATATAATATGCGTTGTTGCTCAATATTTAATTACAGCTTCAGATACATGATATTTTCATTTGCTACAAGCAGGATACACGAGAAGTGTGTTCAACTCGGACACGCAGACAGTTGTCGTGGTGATAAACACTGTAAAAAGCAACCATTCTCATGTCAGAGCTTAGTGCGCATCTTGAGTATGAAAAGCATTTTAGGGGGCCCTTGGCTTTTGGGGGCCCAAGGCAGTCGCCTACTTTTGCCTAATGGGCAAGTCAGCCTCTGCTCGTATACATGCAAAGTAGACAGAATTACTTATAGACTTAATATTGGCAGCGGCTATTTGCACTAAATGTACTGTTACTTTAACTTAGTGTAAATAGAATCCATTGCACTAAGTGCAAATAGTAATGGATTCTATTTACACGAAAGAAACAGTATTTTCTTAGCCATGCTATTTACACTAAGTGCAAATAGCGATAGATTCTATTTACACTATGTAAAAACAGCAGTATTTTCTTTGCAATAGGTCTAATATTAGTTAGATATTAAGTATAAAGTATTAAGTAGCCTATTAAGACACTCTGCTTAAAGGGGTCATGACATGAGAAATCAAATTTGCCTTGATCTTTGGGCATATAAGAGATCTTTGTATCATTAAAACATCCTGCAAGTTTCATAGCTTAAAACGTCCTCCTCATTATGAACAAAGCATTTATTTAATCAAGCTCCAAAAATGGCTTGTTTTGGATCTGATGAGCAAGGTGACGTCACCTGGGCACAAACATTTGCATAAACACTGCCTCCAGAGCGACGAATAGTTATCTTCTCACCATATAAGTGCACCCAAGTATATTTTTCTTTAAGAAAATATCATGTTGCTTCAAATCGGGATTTATTACTTCCCTGAAACAGGAATGGAGAAAATTTGCAGGATCTCCAAGCTGCTTTCTTCCATACAGAGAATATTAAAAAAAATTTGACCACTGACACCTCTAAAAAAATCTTCTGAATCCATACAATAGCTTGGTGTGTTGAATAGCCTGAAATTTAAAACAATAGATCTCATTCACTAACCATGCGTATGCACAAATTTGTGTATAAAATCAGCACACAAACATTTTCAAGAACAAAATATTACTCATCCATAACTTTAGACCCTATTTTTTCCCCTAAATTTACAACAAAAAAAATTATATATATATATATATAAAGGACTGACATTCTTGTTCTTGATTACTTGATAAACAGGAAGTGGCATAATGAGGTTGAATACTGAATACAAAGATGAAAGTAAGAATGGGAGGAACCAAATACATCATTAAATTGCACTAAAAATAATTCAGGGAGACACACCCATAACAACATTATCCTCTGACTCAGGCCGTTGATTGGGGCATTATGGAATCAGCAGTTTTGATGAGAACATTGTGTCTTATATGTTCCAATAAAGCAGACTCAGGCCAAATACAGCTCTAGTTAACTTGAAATCAAAACTGATTATATTTAAATTTTTTGTACATTTCTGATCGTATTGTAAACGATTCATCAGCGTACATTATTCTAACACATGATGTGGGAAAAAAACAAGACATCATTGGTCACACTAATTAAGAATTTATTCCCTCATTTTAGGTAAATCATGGTTAAATTGTACTAATTTGTTCCTGTTCATTAAATTAAGGCTATGATTTTAACAAAATTAAAAGTACAACATCTGTGCCTTGTTTAAAAACTGCGCCTTGGTTACAAACTTTTATCATACATATATATATATATATATATATATATATATATATATATAATTTAAATCCTATAAAACAAGTATTAGGCTATATTTAACTGTGTTGTAGAAGCAAGTATTTCACTGCATTTCTTCCACAGCCTCACATTCACACCTATGTCCTACAGATTGTGATGTTTGTGTCTAAAGTTTGTTCCGGTCTCTCTGACTCTGCCAGCTTGTCTGTCACAACAGCCTAAATATGTACAATAATAAGCTGTCAGGACCTGTCTGGAAACAGCTTCAGAATATGTGTGTCTAATTTAGTATGCCAAGCATGCATCTCCTTCAACCATTTGTAGAGTTACTCCATAAGTTGCCAGCAAATTCAGATTGCTTGCCATAATACTCAAGGTAATAGTCTATTATTGTGCGCTGTGAAATCTTAATGTGATCGTAGAAAGTATTATAATCCTTTTTATTATTCACAGATGTTGTGTTTTGACCCAGTTTCAGTGTATGTAGCGTAAGGAAGTTATTGAAATCATAACTTCGAATATGTGAATATGAAACCAACTTTACCACAGTATGTAGCTATAGCTTTCCGAAACTGAATTCAGCCTCCAAGATTTAAAGACACAATATGTAATTTTCGCGTGTTCAAAATAAACAAAGAGACAAAGGCGTAGTTTGATGACGCCGTGACTGAGTGTGGAATCATGGGAGTTGTGGTCTTCATCCCCACAGCCGATGCAATCCGACGGGACTCGGGCAGAAATCATGTTCATGGATGAGCTAATGATTTATTAACGTAGTAGAATGAAGCAGGGTGAGGCTGAAAGCTGTCGAAGCGAAACGAGGCCGCTAAACGAGCGTCGGCTACTCTGCAGTCGTCACCGGTCTATTAAAACGCACAACATATTAAAGCGTCTTTGGTGTTTCCATGTTTTCTACAAAACAAAACCAGAAATCGAGGGGTTATGACATCATTGGCAGGTGAAACAATGACACTATGGACACGGTCCGTGTCACTAGTTAAAATAGCTTATAAAATGCATAGCATATTAAAGCGTCTTTGGTGTTTCCATGTTTTCTACAAAACAAAACCAGAAATCGAGGGGTTATGACATCATTGGCAGGTGAAACAATGACACTATACGGACGGTCCGTGTCACTAGTTAAAATAGCTTATTCCTCTGGATTTAAACATTCTTCGAAACATTTGGGATAATGTAAGTACACAAGTCAGCAACATGGGCTATATAACACTGTTCTAGTGGTTTTTGGATATTTTAATAAAAAAAATCTTACATGTGCCTTTAAAGCAATTGTAGGCTACGAACGTTTTTTTTAACCTTGAAAAATCAGTTTCAAAATTCTTATAGTAGGCTACACCGACTTCTAATGAGGACAGTGTTTCTTTTCCAGATTCCCCACCAAAAATCTGATCTGAGATTATGTAAATTTGGCCAGAGGATACGAAATTCCATGAAATTCCTGTAGGCTGCTCCTTTCCTAGTTGTGTTTGGGCCGTACGGAAGCTGAATCATCAAACATTACGTTTTGAGAAGTTTGAGCGGTTGGAGAAGCCGACAATGAAACAACGAGACTGACGATTACCGTGCTATGGGAGTTTCGCACAATGGACAAGTGTCCAGATGTTCGCTGCGACATTTGTTATTCAGCCGTGTTTGAACTACACAGGATTGGAACGCTAACTGTGAGTGAGTTTTGTCTTGTCTTGGGCGGACCGCAAATCCACTGACTGTGCGTCGGACTCCAGGTAGGCCTTTTAACAGTTCATTCTTCCTCAATGAAGCCACCTAATCACCACCGGCTCTCGAAAAAGATGAGTTTAGTGTTCATCTAACC